CCGAGGCGTCCCATTGCCACCACAAGGCTTTATTGCTTCTCTGGGCGCTACTCCCTCGGGCCGCCCGACGCGACGCACTAGCAGCGGAGCACCGATTCTTGGCGGACTCTCGGGCGCTGCTAGGAGGTGAAGAGGCGGGGGGAGGGGGCGCGGCGACGGCGGGAGGCCGCGGGCGGTCGAGGGCCGCGAACGGAAGCCTGGAGCGAGCGGAGCCGGGGGCGCGGCCCGGTCCTTCACGTTCGCTTCCCGCGCATAGCTCGCGGGTTGCGGGAGCCTGGAGAGGGCGGGGCAGCGAATCCGGAGCCCGGGAGCCAAGTGGTTCCAGATGAGAGCCGAGCCTTCCGAGGGTTAGCTCTTCAGGAGCTGGACCGAGACGGATTGACTCGAGGGAGCGACTTTGGAGTTGGGCGGGAGAAGAAAAACTTTAGGACTTAGCGACATAAGAGGACAGGCTTGGTGCTTTGGGTATGCGTGGCACGGACCACGACTTCCTACGCTAGAGGTTTAGAAATGTAACCTGAGAAAGCGGACACGGTGGCGGGCGCGGGCAATCCCAGTAGCACTTGGAGGAGAGAAAGAAAAAAGAAAAGGAATTTGAGGATATTGAGTCCGACTGACAGTATCAGTAATTTCTCTTGCCAGGGTCACGAAGAAGTAACTTCCAGGACAAGGGTCTTGGGTTGCTCAGGGTGTGCTTATTGAGAAAAGATTTGTTGAACAAATCTGGGAGCGAGGGATCAGACGTTTTCTTGACCGGATTCTGTAAAGGAGTTCTTGGGATAAGTAGGGTAGAGGTCCAGAGAAGGATCGAGTGAAATGTGGAAGAGAAAAGGGGTATCTGGAAATGTAGCTTAGTTTGTAGAGTGTTTGCCTAGTGGGCTGCAAACCCTGGATTCAGTCTCCAGTGGCACATAAGCTGGTTGGGTGTGAAGGCATGGACATGTAATCTTAGCACCCTGGAGGATCAGAAGTGTAAGACCTTTCTTGGCTGCATTGGAAGTCAAGAAAGGGTGAAAGGGCCACTTTTTGCCTAGTAATGGGTCTTTTTTGTTTTGTTTTTGAGACAGGTTTTCTCTGTAGCTTTGTAGACCAGGCTGGCCTCACTCATAGAGATCCACCTACCTCTGGCCCCCTGAGTGCTGGGACTCAAGGCATTCACCACCACCGCCCTGCCATAGTGGGTCTTCATTGTGAGTTGGGAGACTAAGAATAGCATGTGTAAGGCAAGACTCCTCAGATAAAAAGTGTTTGCTCAATCTGAGCAAGCCTTGAGACCTCAGTTTAACTCCTGGAACTCAGGTAGTGATGGAAAGAAAGAACCCACTCCAGAAAATTGTCCTATGATCTACCCGTGAGGGTATGGCAGGGACCGGTAAAAGTAGGCTTCCACACACACAGTAGTGATATTTTTATTAGAAAATAGTTATCAGCTGGGTGGTGGTGGTGTTGCACACCTTTAGTCCCAGCACTCGGAGGCCAGAGGCAGGCGGATCTCTGTGAGTTTGAGGCCAGCCTGGTTTACAAAGCTACACAGAGAAACCCTATCTCAGAAAAAAAAGTTATGAAATATGGAACTCATTTTTCCCAAGTTATGTACCACTGAGTTATGTTCCAGTACCACAAAAAATATTTTTAAAAAATGAGTTTTACAGCTGGGCGGTGGTGGTGCACACCTTTAATTCCAGCACTCAGGAGGCTGTGACAGGTGGATCTCTGAGGGAAAACCTGTATCAAAAAAGCAAGAGAAAAGAAAAAAAAAGTTTTACTGGAACATAAGGTGTCCTCTCCAGTTTTGAATTAACAATCATGTCAGCAGCTTGGAATAGTTTCAAAAGATCTAAGGTTTGGGGATAGATGTGTGACTGTAATCAAGAAATTAGTGCCTGTGCCCCTCCTTGGAATGAATGTTGAGAAGATTCCAGTGGTGTGTGTTGGTGACTCCTATAATCCCAACCAGCACTTGGAAGGAGCAGGAGCACCATGAGTTCAGGACCTAGGGAAAGCACCCATATTGAAACCACTTTCTCAGTAAAGGTTTGTGGATAATTCTTCAGTCACTTCTGGTTGGTCACTTTTTTTTATAGATAGTAATAAAATTGGTAGAATTTTACCCTCCCTTCTAGGTATTTTTGTGATCAGTTAAAATACTGTGTGTGCACATGGGTGCATGCCATATCCCATGTATGGAGGTCAGGACAATTTTGGGAAGTCTGTTCTTCTACCATGGGCTCAGGAGATCAATCTCACCATCAGGCTTTGTATGGCAAGCAGTTTTACCTGCTAAACTATCTCTGAGGCCCTCTGAACAATTTTTTGAAATAAAAGGCTGTGTGTCCCTGGCTGTCCTGGAGTTTACCCTATAGTCCATGCTGGCCTCAAACTCAGAAATCTGCCTGCCTCTGCCCCACCCCTACCCAAGTGCTGGGAGTAAAGACATTTTCATTTATTTATGTCTTTATTGTTTTATATTTTGAGACAGGATCTGACTATCTCTGGATGACCTGGAACTTGATATATACACCAGGTTGGCCTCAAATTCAGAGACATGCCTGCCTGTGTCTCCTGAGTGCTGAAATTAAAGTTGTTCACCACCACACCGAGTTGGGTTTTGGAGGGTGGCGGTGTTTTAGTTTTTAAACGTGGGGGTAGGGAGTGTGCCATGATATGCTGTGGAGGTCAAAGAACAATCCGTTGTCCTTCTCTTCTACTGTTATGCTAATCTGTTGAGTGAACACAGGTATGTTGGGCTTGGTGAGACAAACACCTTTACCTACTGAACCAGCTTGATAGCCCCATTTTCTAAGTTTTGGGAATTAGACCTTGCAGAAGTTGGTATGTGTGGATTTTATTATCTATGTCCCAAGTTGGCTTGGAACTCACTATGGCCTAGATTGGCCTTGAAATGAGATTATAGATGTGTACCACCATATCTAGCCTACGGGTTTTATTTTTATATATATAGGTCTTTGCTTTTTGCATCTGAAGAATTGAATCCATGGCTTCTTACACATTAGGCAAGCACGAAGACTGAGCTGCATCCCAGTTTGGCAAGCTTTCTACTGGTGAACTACACTTTCTAGACAAAATTTGGGGACTGTTGGGCTGGTGTTTGTTTTCTTTCTTTTTCTGGTGGTGGTAGTTCACTGAATTGAACCCCAGAACCCATGTGCTCTGTCATTGTGCTTTACTAGCAGCCTTCTTAAAATCCTTAATGTCTTTTGTGAAAAGTTAAATAATTTCACAGCTGGGTATGGTGGCCTGTGCCTGTAATGCATCTCTGAAGGATTCGGAACAGGGAATATTGTGTCAAGTTATAAGAAAGTCTGGTCTAAATAATGATATCCATGCCCGTCTGGACTATAGAGTAAGACCCTTAAAGTTATCCTCTGTCCCTGTGAGTGCTCCCTACCACAAACAATAAATACAGGTGGCTGAGGCAAAAAGATGAATCACATACTTGAGGCCAACCTAGACTACAGAGTTGAGGCCCTGGCACAAAAAAAAAAAGAAAAAGAAAAAAGTCTGTGGGTTTGCTTCTGATTCAGTACCTACCAACTAATTCTGCTCGCACAGCCACACTCAAAAACAAAACTACTGCTCCTGCTCTGTTCATTCAGATTTGCATCTGGAAAGCATTTGCTTCACAAACAGCCAAATAAAAAGCCAACTAAAAGCGGTTTAGAAAGACTGGCACCTGAGTATACTTTGCTACTACAAATGCCTTCATTTGTATTTTGATTACTGGTGTGTAGTTGCCAGTTATAGCAGCAAAGATACCTTGTCCTTGTTTTCAGTTCAGGGTTTATTGATTGGTGACTCCCTAAAACGTGGCAGCTTTGTACTTTTATTTCCTGTTGTTTGATTTTGAAACATCTTTGTTGAGCATACAATGTTCATAATTTGCACAAGGCTCAGAATGCCAATTGACTGTCTGAGGGTAAATAGAAACAAAATGCTTTGGGGATCCCAAGGGAAGGAGAAATACTTGGTTAGGTTGGGTGGGCTATATGGGAGAAGTACCCTTTAAGCTATGTCTTGAAGAAACTGTAGGGTTCTGACTGAATACAATAGGGGATGGTAATAAGCTACCTTGAAAGTGCTGGAAATTGAACCCACATCCTCAGGAAGAGCAGCCAGTGATCTTAACTATTGAGCCATCTCTCCAGTCGTGAGATTTTGTTTTGTTTTTGGAATTACCATCTTTTTTCTTTTTTTGGTTTTTTCGAGACAGGGTTTCTCTGTGTAGCTTTGGAGCCTATCCTGGCACTCGCCCTGGAGACCAGGCTGGCCTCGAACTCACAGAGATCTGCCTGTCTCTGCCTCCCGAGTGCTGGGATTAAAGGCATGCGCCGCCAACGCCCAGTTGGAATTACTATCTCTTTGTGGGTTTTGTGCACATGAGGGATCCTGCAGAGGCCAGGAAAAGGATCCCCTAGAGCTGGAGTTGCACATAAAATTGAGTCACTTCACAATTGTGCTTGGAATGAAACCAAGCAAAAGCTCTTAATTGCTGAGCTATCTCTCCCACCCCAGTATTGGTTGTTATGCAAAAGTCTGTTTTGTACTTGTTAAAAATTCAAGCATCTGCCAGGATGTGGTGTGGTATCCCCCATCTTTAATCCTAGGACTAAGGAATAGAGGCAGACACATCTCTGAGTTTGAGGCCAGCCTGATCTACAGTTTCAGGATAGCAAAGGCTAAACAGAGAAACCTTGTTTCAAAAAAAAACAGTTCAGGGCTTTGGTGGTGCACTCCTTTGATCCCAGCACTCAGGAGGCAGAGGCAGGCGCGAATCTCTGTGAGTTTGAGGCCAGCCTGGTTTCCAGAGCAATTACCAGGACAGGCTCTAAAGCTACACAGAGAAACCCTTGTCTCGAAAAACCAAAAATAAATAAATAAAACAGTTCAAGCATCTTTGTGCATACAATTGAATGCTGTAATAGAAGCAGATGAGAATAGGGATCTTAGGGACTGGGGAAATGGCATGGCTCAGTAAAATGTTTGCCCCTAAAGTATGAGCTGAGTTCAGATCCGAGTACCTTTTATAGCAAGATAAGATGTGAAGAATTTTCCAGATGCTAGGGGTGCAGATAGCCTGAGTAATACAGTATAGCAGGAAGAAACAA